ATGTGTGTTGGTTTTCTTAAATTATCCTCTCTAATCATGTGCATTAAATAATTAGAATGATTCCTAGAAGGAACCTCTTACAATCAATAAAGATATTTTGAGAAGAGATGAGAGACAAAGTGAATTGAGGTTTTATATTTTGAGAAAACTAATTCTTATATTAAAAAGTGTTAGTAGTATAATAATATTGATTAGAGTGAGTGGTAGGAAGAGCATCATAAATACTCAGTGATCGTGGTAGGAAAAAATTTGTTAGAAGAGCATTCGCCAAAAGGCCGATGTTTTCTTATGCATGATAACGAGTTCAAAAAATGAGTTACATTATTTAAAATGCATAAATATACTTTTTGTTATAAATTTTATTATCGATATTCGCACGTCAATGAAAATCAAGTAATCATTAAGACTTGATAGTCATAATGGAAAGTCAATGGATAGTCTCATGAATTTATGCATAGGCTCTTATGATTTTAGGAATATTACTTTGTCATGAGTGAAAGCACGAACATCTTATCTTAATTAATTTAAAATTGGATTATTAATGGACTCAGTTAAATTATTATTTTCATGACGATATTATTCTTGTCTTTACACAATTTGCTCTGATCATTCTTCCTGCTTTTATAGTCAACAAATTAAAGAAGGGTCATTTTGATTAAGTCATTCTTTCTCTTTAACTAAAGTTTTGCACTACGCATACTTTATTTTTCAAGGAATTAAGAAAAAGCGATTACTAGTTTTTTTTTTTTTTTAAGACGATCGTGATCCCTTCCATCACTATTAAAAGAGAACAAGCGATTTGTAGTGAAAGCTACTGACATCAAACAAAATAAAGAGAAATATAATTCTCTCAACAACAAAAAAATCATTGAGACTCACTTGGTTGGAAGGAATGTGTTCTTTGGAAATGGAAAGAGAGAGGAATTGTCAGATACCCATCTGGTTTAATTTTTAGGGCATTATGGTCTGTTCACTGTTCCTGGCTTCCTTTCTCATGCTTAATTCATACGTCCCAAATAAAGGTCATGTATATGTATATATACGGAGATTTCATTTCATTAATTTTTTCTGTCATATATCAAACATAATTTTAATAATATTCCCATTCTCTTTTGCCAATGTAATCATAAAAAGAAAATTTTTGGGGAATTTTAAACCAAGCTTATGATAATTTTTTATTTTTAACTAGCTCAGCGCCAACTCTTTGGTATATTTCTTGTTGGAACTTGGAAGTATCCATTGATAATGAGCGGGAGCAAATAGCTTTAGCAACAACAAAAGCTGCATTATTCTCTTTCCCATACTTTTTCTCTCCCATTCATTTTCATGCTGCCTTTTCGATTCCCGTTCCTGGTCCATTTCCATTTTACAAAAAAAAAAAAAAGCCTTCCAACAGACCAAACTTCGGAATTTTCTGGGTGTAGAAGACACAGTGAAATGATATGAAATGTGCCGATGGGTACGGCTTCTCGTGGTAATATAATACTATCTTCGATCCTTAATATAAGATTCTGTTTTTATTTTAGTTCTAAATACAAGACCCCAATCCACTTTGTCTCTCATATTTATATATATTTTTTCAATGTAACCTTTCTAACAATGATAGTTCTAGTTAATACACTTGATTAGCAAGGATATTTTAGGAAAGACAACATCTATTTAGGACAAATAACTAACTCAACTTACTTCTTTAATCTCCTCAAATTAGTTAACTGGCTCTTATAATTAGAATCGGAGATAATAATAGGATAAAACTTAGATCAAGTTAATTAGGTCCATTATGTCCAGTATCTAATAAGCTTCTGCCACCTGTACTAATTTTCATTTAACCCCTAATAAGCTTTTGCTAAAAGCTGATGATTGTTTTCAGATACGTATTCTTCTACTCACAAGATCCCATATAATTCATAGGCACCTATTGATGTTATTCTTCAAGATTGTTCTCAGCAAATCTACAGCTTTCTACTGCCCTCAATTGTGCTCCATCATCTATCCTCTTCCTCCACCTTCTCTTATCACCATCGAAGTAGCTAACTTGCTGCCACCACCAGTGACGATGATTCTTCCACTCCGGCTTCTCTATGCAGATACAATACCGTGATATCAACACACATCTTTGATTATCTTCTTCGTCTAGTAATTTACTGAACCAAAAAAAGAATTCTTAGTTCCAGAAAGCTTCACGGACACAGCGTGAACGCGCCTGTGTTGGAATGCCGGTACAAGAAGATTGGAAATTTAGGTCGATTTCATGGGGAATTTGCAGGAGACGAGTAGGAGTGAATTGAATTAGGAAAGATTATTGTTGGCTGCTGATACATTGAGGAATAGTGACCATGATGAAGATTGAATATGAAGAAGTTGAGATTGGATCGTTGAAGAAAAATAGAATAGAAGAAGAAGGGATTAACAGCGTTTTAACAGTGGGTTTGAGGTTAAGTAAAAGCTAATACACGTGGCAAAAGCTCATTGGAGACCTGGACATAATGGACCTAACTAACTTGACCTAAGTTTTGTCCATAATAATAGACTCAAAGTTGTTTCTTCTCTTTTCCCCTTTTAGCCTCAACCATTAAAAGTTATTCTTGCTGGGAAGCATACACAAAGTGAGTTAGTGACTCATGAGTCAAGTCCCATTATGCTTCCCTTCCTTTAATTTTCTTTTTCTGATAATCAATTCCTTTCTTTTCTTATCTTCTTTCTATGTCAAAATATCTAAAGCTACTTATTTATTTCAATATATAGCTTAAAATTACAACACTTTTATTAAGTACAGCTGGAACTACGTGATACGCCTCCGATTTTAAATGTACATAGGAAGTTGATTTGGTCCTACTAACATCTTAACCCATTTTATTTTATATATATATTTATCTTTTTTTTCAAACCAATTTATCTAACTTATATACTGATATATAATTTAATGTCATATGAAGGTATTTTAGAAGGGTCATTTCATATTTGTCAAAATTAAGTAAACTATTTAAATTTTTTAATATACTAAAATTAATTAAGTAACCCTTGCATGAAAATTCATACAGATGTTATACGTAAAATCTGAGGGAACTAAAATGCTGAACGTTGTGTGGTTTTCCTGTTTGAGCTGAAGGATTCAAACAGCAGCTTCTTGTTATTTTGGTAACCTCATTTACAACGTTGGGCACGTTTGGTTAAAATTAAGAAAAAGGACATTTTGATGTAAGATTACATAAAAAATTATTGGGAGAACTTTAATTCAAACACGTGGATTATTGAAAGAAAATGTGTTTTCAACTTATTAGTTTGATAATTAATTTTGATTAATTTATCAAAATAAGCTGAAAACATATTTTTTTTTCAAACACATCTTGTTTAATTTGAGATTCTCTCAACAATTCTCTCATATAATAACGTACTCAAAATCATGTTTTTGGGTTTGGCCCAAAAAATTCATGTTTTTGCGTTAAACTTAAACAAACAGGTCCTACTTACCCTAACCTATAAGGTACACCTTCCTAATTGAAGGTGGATGGGCATAGAAATCAATTAGAACAAGCATTTATTAAGCCCACGAAGCCTAATTAGATTTTCTTGGGCCGCAAAGTTTGGTAAGATCTCCTGCAAAACTGTGATCCTTGTGCCCGCATCCCTTTTCTCTGGAGAAGCAACAAATTTTTGAAGACTGATCTCAAGGAGCTAGCAAAAATATAAAATATAAAATCAGAAGTTGAGAAAGTTGCTTAATTTATTGTAAAATGACAAAGATGAGTACATACACACACATCTGAGCTCGCTTTATTGTAAGAATTAACACTGCCTCACACTATTTTGCAAACACAATATGGATTGGTAGCATTATTGAAGTCTACGTCGCCATTTGCTCATGTTGAAGGATTACTATTGGGCTGCTCACTTTGCGTTTGCCATCAGTCCAAGTCAACTCTCCAAATGAAGGCTCTGAAGTTTTAGTTGAACTTGATGCCTGTAAAATAACCATATAGTTCTTCTTTTGGTTTGTCCTTTGAAAAGTCAAAGTTGATGGAACAACAACAACCTTAACTCCTCTAGGGGCTTTCACGTTTACAGTATATGTGCTTGGAGGCCCAACATTTGTGACTATACGGGTTAAATTTGTAAGTTTCATACCCAGAAAAGGCAATGTGATTGAAGGGTAGTTGAAATCTTCTAGTCTGTAAGACCTTGGGCATTTGTATGGCTTATTATTATTAATGGATTCAATTATTATTCCCTCATAAGCAGAAAAGCATAACAAGTTGAGGTAATCAGAAGTTTTGAGATCATAAACAAGTCCAGGGTCCATTGCAATGTTTGGTTTGACATAGCCTCTGCCATAATGAAATGGAGTTGCTACTCGACCATCTTGTTCGTCCTTAAGTGGTCTATTGGTGTTATCCAGTATGCTTGCTATAACAAAACATAGTTTTTGACAATTATTAGAAAAAGAAAGAAATCATATTGTGGACATGAAAACAGACTGATAGATGTCATACCAGTGGTCATGATTGCTGACTTGATCATGGCAGGACTCCAACTAGGATGGCGAGTTTTGAGAAGACCAACAATGCCAGCAACATGAGGACACGCCTGGGAAGTTCCGGATAGAACATTATAGTCAAAGCGAGCTTCATCTGAATCTAGGTTTGTGGGACTTGCAGCAGATGAATAAGCAGCAATTATACCCTGGCCTGGTGCAGTTACATCGGGCTATGAAGAAGAATAAGAAGAAGAAAATGTTGAGAATTACAATATATATTTAATGACCGAGGGAGTAAGACTCTGTGAGAATAGATAGGTAACCTTGAGGATTGAGGGAAGAATCAAGTTAGGTCCCCTCGATGAGAATGCAGAAACTCTTGGAGCCGGCCTTATTGGTATAAATGTTTTTGCATTATTCATGAATGCAACCGGGCTCCTGCAATATGCGTATGATAATTACTTGTTTTGAAAATATTTTGAGAGCAATTCCAAAAGGTTTGGCAAATGTTAAACATGTATGATAATTACTTGTTTCTGTCAAAATACGAGTTCCTTATATTTTTACTCTCACTCTGACCTCCACCTTGAGGAATATTGGAAGCTCCAACAACCTGAGGATCAGCTGTAAGTGTGTTCAATTGCTTATCATTTTGTAAAATCATTTGCAATGCACCTACACGCTTTGCTTCTTGACCCTTCTCCACAGGCCTCAGGCTCCTTCCTCTTTGGCATACTAATATGCGACCCCTTACTTTGCGAGGATCAAGGGTTCCGATTTTGCAAAGCTGACTGCAACATACAGGAGTATTATTCGTACTTAGGAGAGAAACATACGACAGATTAATACAAAGAGACAACATCATGAATATGTGAAACATTAATTCATTCTTACGCATCTTGAAATGTTGCATTGGGAAGCCCGACATTGCCAGCAATGACCACAGGAATCAATCTCTGAGATGTGGAGTTTGTGGCAAGACTTGTTCCCTGGTTACACCCACAGGCAGATCAATTTGGAGAGGGGAAAACCAAACAAAATCGATATGTAATTACTATAGCGGTTCAACCCATTCCAGGTTCCTAATACTTCTAATGAATTCTGGTTTTAGTCTATATATCTTTTTTCCCTGTTGTTTTTCATCCTCATGCTATCCAAAATGTTGGTTTCTATAAGGCTAATGTGGTGTTAACAGTGTTGAGTAGGCTGACATGGACTGTTGACAAGGATTAATGTGACTGGACTCAATAGTAAAAGACATGAAATGGGTTTAATCCTAATTATCAAAAGAAGAGAAGCAATACGAACCTTAATGGTCTGGCCATTACCAAGAGTAATATTGTTGCTGTCCCTGTCCATGAAGCCAGAAGCAACAGTGAAGATCCACGGTGCCACATTTGCCATGGTCTGAAGTTCTGGTCCCTCGTAACCGGCAGAGGCGACAACGATGATTCCCCTGGAAACCGCATGGAAGGATCCTATGGAGATTCCATTGGTCAACATGTCATTCACATTTGGCACAGTACTCCCACCAACGGAAACGGAGAGAATATCGACGCCGTCATCGATGGCTTGGTCAAAAGCAGATATCAGATCTTCATCAGTGCAGTCCTCTGCACTGTGACGACCCCAACAGATCTTGTACACTGCGAGACGAGCTCTGGGAGATCCTCCCTTGGCTGTTCCATTTTTGTTGAGAACGCTGACGTTTCGGACGAAGTTGCCACCTGCTGTCGAGAGGGTGTGGGTCCCATGTCCAACCATGTCACGGGCACTGATACCACTTGTGAGGCCAAGGCTCCCGTGTTGTACCACGTAGCCTTTATAAAATGTTTTTGCTCCAATCAGCTTCCTATTTCATACTCATGCAGACCAAATCATCCGTTATCTCAACGTTTTTGTTCAGTTTAGACTTTGTACATATCATAATGTCTAATACTAAAAGCTCAAGTACTGATCAAACCTGTTGCACAGGGTTATGTTACGTGGGCCAGTCAGACTATAAAGCTCGCATCTTGATCCTCCACGCCACTTCCTTGCAGTTGTATCGCGACATGTTCTTGGAGGGTGTAATTGCCAACACTGTAACATATAACATATTGATTCACGCATTTCTTGGAAAAGATTCAATTAAGCAAGCGCTTAAACTTGTTGATGAAATGCTATTTAGAGGGTGCCCACTAGACAATATTACATACAATGGCCTTATCAAAGCTTTCTGCAAAGTGGGGGCTATTGGAAAAGGATTGAAATTGTTTGAGGAGATGCTTGGTAAAGGGATTTTTCCTAGCATCATCTCTTGCAATATTTTGATCAATGCCTTATGTAGAATTGGAAAAGTAAATGATGCGCTTATATTTCTTCGGGATATGATCCATCGTGGATTGATGCCTGATATAGTGACGTATAATACCCTCAGCAATGGTCTCTGCAAAATCGGTCATGTTCAGGAGGCTCTAAACCTTTTTGACAGGTTACAGGATGAAGGAATATGTCCTGATGCTATTACATATAACACACTGATACATAGGCACTGCAAGGAGGGTTTGTTTATTGAAGCATGTATACTTTTATATAGAGGTGTGGAGAATGGGTTTATACCTAATGAAGTCACTTGGCACATGTTGCTAAACAGTTTTGTGAAAGAAAGTAACAGGGGAGTAAGACCTTCTTTTAATACGGTATATTTCCAAGCTTTGTCATTTTGAAGACAGTGTCTCATGCTGCTCTTCCTACACTGCCCCTTGATCTCATCTGAGTTGTCCTCTGGTACTTGGTACGCTGGAATTTTGCTGTCTAGCTGTGGCTGTTAATTTTGGTTCAAATATTGTCAGGGAAACTGACTGTGTAATTTATTACTGTGCATTATTATTAAAACTTTTATTGCTAGTTGACAGATGACTTATTTGAGTCATCTCATGAAATTTTCCTGTAGCTGAAGCATAAACATTGATTTATACACATGGATTGTTAGAGAGGAAGGTTGCTGGCTGGTTTTAAATGAAAGCCTGTGGGTTTTGCAATTTTTACAGTAGGCTTAAGCCTCCAATTTGTATTGTGTAAAATAGCATTATCAATTCAAGGCAATTTGTTCATTAAACAATCTGCAACTTGTGTGATTCATTTCTTCTTGTGCTGGCATATGAGTTTCCAAATGCGTCCATATTGCTAATAATTTTAATATTTCCCCTTTGTAAGCCTTTTTTACCACTAATCTGACACTCCCTCCGGTTCAAAATATAAGCATCAAATCTTTGAAAAATGTTGGTTTTTTTTGTGAGCATCAATTTGAATTTTTCTGATCATTTAATGCATTTTTCTTATTTTTACCCCTAATTCATTATATGTATCTGTAATCTTTTTTTTTTTTTTCATTCATTCTTTCTTCAAATTACTCTCCCCATAACTAAGGGTATTATAGAAAAATAAGTTTCTTTTTTTTTTTTACATATTTATTGTTTTAAACCGATTTTAACTTTTTGAATGGTGTAATTTAATTATTTGATACTTATATTTTGAACCAAAGGTATAATTGTTTATCCTGTTAGGGTGCACCCTTCGTGTTGACATTCTTTTTCTTCTTCTTTTTTTTCCTGGGGCCTAGCCTTCTCAATAACATTTAATTTCTTCTAAAAGGTGACTAAAAGCTTGAAAGATTTGAACTTTTTCTTTTATTTTGCCTCATTTATACATTCATCAAACCTGGGCATGGCAAACTCTTGCACAACCTCTGAAGCTCTCATGACTAATGACACAACAGAGCTCCCCTTCAGTTACTCATGCCTCTTTTCACTGATATATCATATATGTTAACACTCTGAGATTGAGATTTGATTTATGTTTTCTTTTCTTTAAAACTCGCTTAATCAAGTCCTTAGTCATAGGTTGATCTATTATCAGCTAGAGTTGATGGGTGATTATGTCTGGTTTAACCAGACATTACACTAGATTACTGCCCTTTCCCCCTCCATTGTGTGGCATGACTATCTAACACTCTCGCTAACCCCCCCCCCCCAAAAAAAAAAGTCCCCAACACCCCATCCACCTCTATATATATATATATATATCTTCTTTTTTTTGGCTCCATTTGGAACGTTGTTTAAGTGCTGCTAGTATCTTTGGTCCTGGTGATCTGTATAGTAGATTTTTGTCCAAATGCATAGGTATATCTATTACCAACTCTTAATTTTTTATTACTACCTCTGATTTAAGTTACAAACTAGATCTTATGTTAAAGACCGAAGGTGGTATAAATTTATGTTGTTTTGAAATCACTTCTTTTTGCATTGATCTCAACCAGATAGATGGACAGTTAAAGCATAATTGCTACCTAATTCATAGTCATAACCACAAGAATCATCCTCTTGTATATCAGCTGAGAAGGTTATCTTGTCATCATCAGGTCTTATGGGAGGTCGTTTGTGAGTTTTTAACCTGCATCCCTAGGCATCAACCACACTTCCTCAACTCTGCTGAGTACATGGCTTTCACCTGAAGCCAAAACTGTCATTGCGAAGTTGGCAGTGATTCCAAAGACAGTACCTATTATAAAGAATTATGTGATCCCTGTAGCAACTATCCACCCATGTGATCTGATATATTCTCTGTTGTTTTGGGTCTTTCCTGATTTTTCTCATGACCTGGTTCAAATTTAATGAATTCAGGATTAAGAAACTTCAGATTGCTACCTTTTGAAGGCTTGACAGACTCAACATTTGATTGCTTGACTTATTCACGTTTGGCATGGACCCCATCTAATGATCCCACAGGTATAGGTATAGCCTCCTTCAAGTTCCCCCTTTTTTTTTGACCTGAAGCCTCCTTTTCCAGTCCTCATCTAACAGTTCTGATTTTACCGTCCTAGCACTTACCATGTTCACATTACCAGAAGTTGTTAACCCATTTGCTAGTTCAGACCGGGCACATTCTGAATTTTGTGTAGCAGATAACCTCGAAGGTTCTTCCAAAAAGATGCAGCAGTACCTTCTTTTCTTGCTCGCCACATCTGCAATGTCAACATTTGGTAGAATGGATCCTTGTGGAATACTTGAGTTTTTAGGATGAGGGCGATTCAACACAAAAAATAATCTTGACTGCATTTCTCATAACTAGGCTCCTCAAAATCATTATACTGGACCTTTTAAAGTTTTAATCAGGGAAGGAGACTTCGGATACAAGTATACTTTCGGGCTGACTACGTTGCTTATAAATAATTGTGACGTTCATGGCGTTTGAGTTTCATTCAGAAAATCATTTGCTACCTTCTTTACCTGGTTGATGGTAATTATCTCATCAGCTCTGTCAAGGAAAATTACAAACATTTCTTCACAGGCACCCTGCATCATGTTTTCATCTATAATGCTCCTCTTGCATTTTGTTTCCACATTACCTAATGGGAAAGTTAATTTCATGCATAATCGCGCAGACTCTTATAGTTCTTTTTTGTTAGGTATGAAATAAATATATTTAGGCTTGGGCCACTTAGGCGCTTAGTTAGGTGAGCAAAATCATATAGTCATGTCATCATCATTCATGTCATGTCATATTGTGGTGTTCTTGATGCTGGATCTACTCATGAACATGATTGCTTTGCTATATTTTGTAATCTGAAACTGATGAACCTCTAATCCTTTGTACTTCAAGTATGGTAGTATTAGTGATCCGATCTAGTGATCTCACTAATTTTGTATGCTTAATTGGGGATTTCTGGACTGAGACTCTGTTGTATTATTCACAGAGAGAGGTACGGCATATATAAACGAATAAGGCAGTATATAGCATGAATTGGGGGAGAGAAACAAAATTTTTCTTACATAATTATCTTGTATTACGTAAATTACAATTGAAAAGCTACTTATAAATCATTACAAATGCCCCCAATATAGTATGAGTACAAAATTCCTTCTGCCTCATTTCCATGGCTATCATTTTTCACATGTTTTGTTCGCTCATTTTGTACAGGGTTTAAAGCCATTGCGGCTTTATTGTCCCAGTGAAGAGTTGTTGGGAAGTCATATTCAAGTAACATCTACCCGATCACCCTCTTAAGCCCCAGCCCTTAATTTTGCTTCTGCAATATTTCCTACTTCTACTTTTTGTCTTTGGCTTCTTCATATGACTAAGGTTACTCTGTACAATAACTGCATAGTGCCCTGAGGTGGACTTTCTATTTTCAGTTGCACATGCCCAATCAGCATCGGTGTAAATCCCTGTAGAATCTTCCTTTATCGAAATTAAACATCATCCTTCTTCCCCCCCCCCCCTCTTTTCATATGATTCAAATTTCTACCCATGGTTATAAATTTTTCACCATCAAATACTTCTTCCATTTCACTCATGATCAGCGGGCATTTTTTAACATTTGAGAATGTATTCTTAGCTTGTTTAAAATTGCAATACTGGCATTTTTTTAATTAATAAGATTGAAAATATAAGGGTTAAGAGCACTGAAAAGACAATTTACAAAATTAAGGAAGCAAATTAAAATTTTATATAAGGTTAAAATACTAAACGTGATTGCTTTAAATAATCAAGATTGTAGCAAAATTTAGTTTTAATTAACCAAAATACCCTGATATTAAATATCTGCTTCAAATACTCCACTTGATAATCATTTTCAAACTAATGGATTGTTAACTAAACAATTTTCATATATTACATAATTTAATGAATATGTTATATTTATCATAATTATTCATGATGATGCCTCGGATGCTCTATTATATTGCAAATAATAACAACAATAATTATAATAAAGAAAGACC